GAAGTAGCAGTAACTCCCAATGAAGGTGTTCACGCCCAAGGAGAAGACCAAAACCCGTTTCCACTAAAGACGACACAGTGTGTGAAGAAGCAGGATCAGCAAAATGGCTCTTCAGCAAGAACCAGGATTCTTCAACAAGAATCGAACAGGGGCTGGTGAGTACGACTTCAGATTGTTTCTTCAATCAAGAAATAATGTCAAGAAGCTTTCTTGATCTATTCCACAAGAGAATATCGAACTGGATAGGGATGGCAAGAATAGGAGAGAATTCTGCAGGTGGTTGTGTGTTAAAACTAAGGAATTCGCCCCCTATTTATAGTCTTCTTTGGATCAGCCAAATAATCTAATTAGGAGAGAATTTCTTGATCCAAATCTAATATTTGGATCTGGACTCTTAAATGGATAAGACTTATCTTATCCTTACAACTAATCCTAATTTAAGCCCAGTTCGAATTGGGCTTTAAGCCCATTAATCTTATGTGCTCACTTACCCCTTAACCTGCTGCTCAGTTGGCTCTCTTTGTATGGCGGGGGACCCAAACATTGATCTACACATCAGCCACMTGRGTTCAGYCYARCMTCTGTTACAAGGCYTRGCCGAATTCACTGTAGGAGACAGTGAACCCCTGAGTCCATCACCATGGGCTCTTAATGGGCCCAACATTTACACTAAATGGTCATTGGGTCAAACCACCTTATGAAAACCCAAGGACTGTGGGCAGATGCAAGATTAGCCATCAGGTATTACCCTCAATGGTCTTACACTTAACCCCTTAGCCCATTATGATCAAACACTACCCGACAAGAGAGGACCTCTCCCTCGGCTGCAAGGAACAGTGTTGCACTCTCTATTCGCATGGATCCCGAGAATTAAAACCTTTTGCAAACATTTTGAAACCATAATATATATGTATATCTCTATATAAATATATTTTGCAAAACAAATCTCAACGTTTGAAATCAACTGCCGACAGTTTAGGTTTCCATCAGAGAGAGTGCATCCCCGATCATTCACTTTGTCTGACAAAGGGGCTAATCCTGTCATTATGATCACCCACTCAGGTGAATTCTCAGACTGTCCCAACATACCCAAGTTTTGACCCCCTCTAAGGATCTCACTGATTGGCACATCAAAAATAGCCCAATCCGACACCTAGTGTAGTACCATAATCGAGTCTAGGGGTCAGGTGTAACATTCCAGTTTTGCCCATCTGTCTCCAAGGTCCAAGGCAATACTGGAATTTGGTCCAGTTCAGGGTTTCAAGAAAACCCACACTGCATGTACCTCAGGTCTCACCCTAGCAGTTGAGACAAGCCACCCCAACCAACTTGGCAGCACATCAGTGTCAGCCTTGGCATGATAAATCTCCCCAGACCTATCCAACAGCTGTGAAAATTCTAAACTAACACGAGTCTCATAAGTGTCTAGTTTAAGGGTATTACACAGAAACACACCACAATGACATGAATCAATTATGTACTTTATTCATTTACAATAAATGTCAAAAGATACATCAATCTGATTGGAGCTAAGGGCATAACTGTATAACAACTCCCACTTGCACTTAGGTCCAATCGGGTACAAGCCGGAGTCCCATACTTTCCACGTGTTTCCCAAACACTTTCTGTCTAAGTGGCTTAGTCAATGGGTCTGCTACATTCTCCGCTAACGCTACTTTCTGAATCAGGACGTCCCCTCTACCAAATATCTCCCATAGTACATGGTACTTCCTCTCGATGTGCTTCAACTTCGAGTAGATTTATTCAAGGCCTTCTCATCCAAAGATATTATTAAACAATGGCAGCCGGTTGCAAACTCCACTATAATGAAGGTTGTTAATTGCCAACCCATTCTATTAAGCTCTATTTAATTTGTGGGAAAGGGATGCTTGAGTTTGGTTTGCAAGACATAAGGATGGGAGAAGAAAATTGTGAGACACTGTTTCTCAAAAGTGGGGACACAGGGTTGCACAAAAACGGTGCAACCCTAGTGGGAAAGGAAATTGACAAATATTACTTTGTATATATTTTATAGCTCTTTGATCTCCAACTTTGATTGCTACCATTGCCATGCCTGCGGCTTGCCATGGTTCCCAATGACCACGGCTGGCCTACAGCAATCATTTCTATGTATTTTATACTTTTGTCCATCAATGAATAGAAGAAATAACCAGGTTTGACCTCCTTTTACTAACTTGATATTATAAGAGGGCAAACCTCTTTCTATTTTGCACAATATCTCAAACCAAATCTACCCTCCTCCATTGATGCGTACACTGGTTTCCATATTCTTGTCATCCCCCACAATGTACGACACGAGGATTTAGACTGCAAAAATTCTTCTGCCTTTTATCACAACATGTTTGTAAATTTATTGCAGATTTTCAAGAATACCAAACAGAAAATTCTCAATGGCTAGCAGATTTTGAGAAGACTTTTAAGGAAGAATGTGCTAGGGAGGAGCAACTGGTACTTCAAACATTGCAGTAACATTAGAAAATTTAACAGCTAAAAGATATAGCAATGGTTTCAGATGCTTTGAGAAACATCTACAAAAATGAGATTATTCAGGAATCAAAAGATTTGAACCATGAAGGAAAGATCCAGCAGAAGCACCAAAACTCCAAAATAGACTCACCTAATAATACTCCTTTTCCAGCAGCAAAACCGAGAAGCAAAAAGGGTAGAGATGAAAAGACACCAAGTATCAGGAGGCCTGACACCCATGACGAGTATCAACAGATGATCAACAGATGAGTAGGAAACAATTGTATCCAATACAGTATTTAAGACACTTGATAATGCAACAAGCTCATTAAGAGGACAGGAGGGGCGGTACTGTTTTTTTTTTATCAATAACTGAAACTTCATTAATGAGAAAAAACAAATACAATAAAGTACTTGGGGAGAGGTAAACACTCTTAACTCTCCCCAAGACAAAGATCAATTACCACAAAGCCCAAAATAGGCTTTCTTCCCACCCCTTGTTTTGCAAATTGCAAGTATATTCGCAAAGGAATTAGCAATCCTCTTTACCCAAGTATATTTATCTCCATATCCCTGGTCGACCAACTATACTTCTTTTTTTTTCATTAGCAAATTTCCATATCTCATTCTCCTTCAGCAGCCAGCCTATAACCGGTTTAGACTCACCCTCAACAATCAGCTTTTTCATGTTCAGCTTCTTTGCTCGTTTAATCCCTTCCATTACCAACAAAACCTCTGCTCTAACTGAATCACCTACTCCAATGGGTCCTGAATTGAAAGCTATAACTTTTCCTTTTTCATTTCTGAAGACTCCTCTAATCCCCGATGGACCCAGATTACCTCCACTGCTTCCATCAAAATTCAACCAGCAATCGGTGGAGACCAAATTGGACATGCCACAGACTTAAGAGGAGCTGAATCAGCCACTTCCAATTTTTGAACAGATCATCTGAAAAAATACCTCCAAATAATTCTAAAGATTTCACCCAATGAACCACCCTAATAGTAATGGTTTCAATGATGGAGGCTTCACTTCTTTCCTTTTCAGAGAAAATTCTTTGGTTCCTTTCTTCCACACTTTCCAACAAATAGCAGCCTTTGTGCATCTCCACAAAATTCTACCCCTCCCTCTTCCTTGACCCCCTGACAGAAAGGGAAGTAAACAAACTTTGTACATCTGGTGGGGGAGTCCACCTACAACCAAACAAAGAGAGAAACCAATCCCAAATCACAAAAACAAATACAGAAACCAAAGAAGTATTAGCAGTGTTGTGATCTAACCAAAAACAAAAAGTATTAGCAGTATTGCAAGCTTTGAGACTAGCAAAAAAAGGGAAGAATTACACAAATAGTCAAATATTGTGGTTGAAGGAGATACTAAATCGGTGGCGGGATGTAGGGCTGTCAAGGACTCCAGAAGTCTGAAACCTAATCCAACATCCAATCTAATTATTAAGGATCCGGATGTTACAATTTTCACCCGTTTAATAATTGGACCAGATGAAGATTGACCCCATGTGACCTGATTAAAATCCAAGTCCGATTAAAATTTATTATATCTATGTATATATAATATATAATTAAAAACAGCCCTAGTGGGATGGGTACAGGATGAAGAAACCCTAGAAGTACAAGAACATTATGGAGAAGATAAAAGAGCTAAAAAGAAGTAGGGTGGTTACAGTGAATTTGGGTGTACAGGTCGGCTAACAGTAGGGTTGATGAATTGGCCAAAAAAAAGGAGTGGAGAGAAGGAATTTTGTTCTTGTTTTTTTTTTTTTTTTTTTTTT